TTAGCTGGTGTCAATTGTGTGGCTGTTATGGCAAGGATTATGAGAGCCTCTTATTATCTCTCCTGGGTCTTTGATGACTCCCATCCTTTCCACGGCCTCTTCCTGAACTAGGACATTGTCCTTCCAGGATATCCTGGGGGACTAAGCATCCAGTGTTGGGGGTTAGGAGGCCTGGGGCAGAGATTGGGACATGAGCAGGGCACAGTTGCAGCAATGCTCAGTGGCTTCATTTCCAGGAGGAGAAAGCAGGGGATGAGACTTAACCAAGTTCTCCGTTTGTCCTAGGACAAGTGAGGGTGTTCTAGAACCTCTGAGACTGAGGGACTGACAGGTGAGGTAGCATCCTACCCCACCTCTACTCCCTGATGTCCCCCAGAAACAGCTCCAGCCCAGATAGTAGACACCTAGGCCTCGGCTCCAATGTTGCCACCTGGGAAAGCCACATCCTCTCTGTGGCTGGTTGATTTTTTTTTTCCATCTGTAAAATGAATTCATTACCTCCTGCTGAGTGCTGTTGCAAGGGCCCAGGAAATCCACATGTGGAATCCCTTTGTGGAATGCGTGGCTGTATCTAGATATAAAGAAGTAGGTCAGAGGCTGAGATGGGTATGCATGTATGATGGAGGACCCAGCTTCAGCCCTCTCCAGGACCAAAGTCAGAAACTCTTTAGCTAACTGAAAGTGGGTCTCTATACCCCGGAGTGACACTATGCCACAGAAGAGATAAGCATGAGAAAGTGAGTCAGCAAAGGAAAGAGTGTGTCAAAAGGACGTGTGTGTGTGTGTGTGTGTGTGTGTGTGTGTGTGTGTGTGTAAGAGAGACACAGACTTCCGGAGAGAGGAAGGATTAATATTTGAATAAGTGAGTATGATGATATTTTCTCAGTATGTATGTATTGGACACCTATCTCCGATATGCCACACTCATATACTACACATTATTTCATGGATGCAAATTCCTTTGCAAGAAAAGCAGAGTCTAGTGGGACGCAGATCCCAAAATGGGTCCCACCTAGACACCACACTGAGTACTGAGATGTACAGAAACGGGGGTAGGGGTGTGGCCAGTAAGCACAGAAGACAGATCCCTGGGCAGGCTGAGGGGCTCCTCTGAACTGTAGCTTCTAAACTGAGGTGGAGAAGAGGCAGGCTGGGCAGGAGGGGGAAGATGATGTCAGCAGAGAGTTGGTGGGTCTAGAACGATGATCTCTGCAGAGAGGCCAGCTGTGCAGAGGCAGGACACACAACCCACATGTATGCACACGCATGCACACACACACACAGAGGCATGCACACACCTGGTCAGAATCCCAGAAACTAAAATCCACCTGACGTAGAAGGGACTTGATTGGGACTTAACACTGGGAACTAAGTGGCTGCCTGGCCTTCCTCTGAGCTGCTTCAATAGCAGGTTTCTACTAACTAGGTCTCGGGGAGGCAGCACACAGAGGGAGGGGGAGGAGGATTGTGTTTGAACTTTACTATACCCTTGGCCTCAGCGCTGCAGAAAGGACCAAATGTTTGCACAGCCATGGCTCTGGGCCAGACGTGTGCAGGGAGAGTAGTACTGCCAAACCCAGGTGTTGGTTAAATATTTGCCAAATTAGTGATGGCAATGGGAGCTGGGCCAGACCTGGAGCCGGAGAGCTGAGAAAGGTCTTCACTGCGTCCGGAATAAAAGCTTTCCAATTCGTAGACAATGTGTATGATTCAGACTTCATCCTGTGTGGACACGTTACGATTGTATAATGGTTTCTGCTTTCCATTCTGCTTTCAGCTGTCTGTGGTTCATTGCACTGAGTTCTAGATGTGCAACAATCCAACCCTCCAAAGCAGAATTAATCTCTGCCCTACTCTGAATTGGGAAATGAATGCATCTATCATGCTCCTCTTCTAGTCTAGGGAATCTCCCCCTTCTCTATGTCATTGGGAATGCCTGGGGAATGGGGAAAGATCATGCCAGCCCCTCTGCCAGCTCCTGGTCCTTGGTCACCTTCCCTTCATGCCAACACCCACTTTTGTGACTGGTCAAAGGTACCAAGAGGCCCAGATTTCCTACCTGCTGTAGCGACAACTGCTCAGGTCTCCCTGAACATGTATCTCACTGGTTATGACGTTTGCCTTCCCAGCCCTGGTCACAATTTGTGATCTGTGTTCCTCTTGTTAGTATTTGAAAGGCTGCCCTCCCCACTAGCTTTCCACTGTGGAAGACCAAAGCTCACATTCTCCATTCCCACTGTAGCCAGGGCGATGACCACAGAGCCTGGCCAATCAGCAGAATTAAGTGAACGAAATGTACCATCCATCAGAGCCAGCAGCAGCCTGTGGTCTGGGGGATGCCTCACACAGGTACTTTCTCGGTATCACTGTGGATCGCCTGCCCCACACCTAAAGGGTAACACTAGCTGAACTCTGTGCAGGGGCAGAAGCCGTGGCCACACGAAGCCTTCAGAGCTCTGCCTGGACTTTCACATGGTCTCAAATGTCCTCAGAGAGGAGCTGGGCAAGCATATTTCTGGCACTCCCCTGCTTCAGCTCTGTTTGGATTTGTTTTAGATCTCTCTTCCATGGTTTGCTTTTGCTTTAACAAAAAGTTCCCAAGATGGACATGGTGGTGCCTAATGAGCAGGTGCCTAATGAACCTGGCTCTTTGGGAAGCATGGGGATAACTTGACCATAGGGATTGGAGATCAACCTGGGCAACATAAGAAAACCCTGTCTCAAAAGTAAGTAAACACACACACACACACACACACACACACACACACACACACACACACACGAATCACAAATGCAATGGGAGGCATCAGACTAGGCTATTGCAGGACCCTCCACCCAGGCAGGGAAGCTTTAGGCTAGATCCCTCTGGCCTCAGTTTCTTAATCAATAAAATGGAATCAGCACCCTCTGTTACTGCACTCAGTTGATGTGGGTGAATGTGGCTTTTACTAACTGCCTGTACCCTCAGGGCTGTGAGTGCTCAGGGCAGGGACATTCTCTCTCTCAATCCCTATGCCACTGGTGTCCAGCACCGGATGATGCTTAATCTCTGTCCAGCTTGCTCTCCAGAAGGCCTTCTCTGAGCAAAAATACTTCTTAAAAATTTTTATTGTATTTAGTGGTGTGTGTGTGTGTGTGTGTGTGTGTGTGCGCGCACGCGCGTCACTACATTTATGTGGACATCAGAGGAAAACTTGCAGAAATCAGTTCTCTCTTTTCACCACATGGGACTGGGGGATCAAGCTGAGGTCATCAGGAGTCTCAGCAAATGTCTTTCCCTGCAGCGCCGTCTCACTAGCCCGTCAAAGGATGTTTGAACACCTCTGTTATCTCACTCCTATCTTTCTAGGAGTTAAGAACATAACTCTTGGGCTGAAGTGATGGTTCAGTGCATAAAGTCCTTGACACCCAAGCATGAGGATCCCTGAGAATGTTGGGCATGGTGGCTTATGTCTATAATCACAACATCACGGAGGCGGAGACAGGAAGACACTTGGGGCTTGCTGACCAGCCAGTCTAGTTGAATGGGTGAGATCCAGATTCTTTGAGAGAATTTGGCCCAAAAAATAAAGTGGAAAACAATTGAGAAAGACATTGGCAGTCAGTCAGCATCATACACACACACACACACACACACACACACACACACACACACACACACACACACACACACGAGGAGGGAGCTGTGTGACTCCCACAGCCTGGCCAACACCTACTGCATAAGGCCAGCCTCTGGCTGCATGCCTGGAAAGACTCAGGGTCTGAGCACCTGCCTCTCTTTCCTCATTCCCAGCCCTTGACAAAGAACTAGAGACCAGAAGTGGTACAGGCTGCACTCTGACTGGGGAGGCTCAAAGCCTCTCCTTTTGTGCGTTGGAACTAATTTGCCACCCGAGGCACAGGCAACAAAGCCACAGTAAGCAGGAAGGAGGAACCTAATCCAGGAGAGGACGTAGCAAGGTCCAGGCCACCCATGAGGCAATGGGACAAGAGGAGTCTGGGAACTGAGATCTGTGTCAAGGACAAAGCCTTGGTTTCAACTCTTTTTCCCACTTAGTCCAGGATGTTCCTGTCTCAGCAAGGAAAGACTCAACTATAGACCTGAAGACGCACTGTTCCCCCATGCCTCCTCCCTACTGCTGTTCCAGGTTCTCACAAGCTTGACCTTGGACCTGGTATGGCTTCTGCCTTAGGCCAGCTGGGCTTGCATCCCAACTTTGTTGTCTACCAGCTGTGTGGGTGAATGGTACAAGGTTCCCGAGTGCTGGAAGGTCTTTGCTTTTGATCCGAGAATAGCAAGGCCAACTGAGCATGGCTTTTTTTTTTTTTTAATTTACTGAGGATCATGAAGGAAGGGCAGGCCGTTAGTAGGGCAGATGTCCTTCTTGCAGCTGCAGAGAACTAAGGATGTGTGCTCTTTTTGCTTGTTGTGCATCCCCCTTGCCTGGCTCGAGTCCCAACCCTGGAAAGTAGGAATTGCCATCCCTGTTTTACAAGAGAAGGAAGCTGATTAGCTGGGCCACGTGGCCCAGTTGGGAAGTGGCAGGTCTGACATTAGACACCAGGTCCTGTGGAGCCAGGAACAGGCACATTGTCCTTCACTTATGGAGCTGTGGAAGATGTCCCCACCTGTGCCACTTCCACCTCGTCCAGCAGAGAGTCCTCACCCCAGCTCCCTGTTCATTGTGTTGGTGGGTTTGTTGAGAACTAATGTAGCAGCTGGATCTCCTCAGCAGCCACCTACCATTCAGGAATTGTGACAAATTCCAGAAGGAGACCTGACCTGCGTTAAAATACATGCTTTATAAGAAAAGGGACCATTTGCAGGCCAAGGACAGAAGACAGCCACACCCATGTTCTTCAGCATCCCTGTTACCTCTTGGAGAAGTGGGCAGGGCTAAGGCATGTGCCAGATGTTAGATGGGCTTTATACCCATGAGAGATCTTCCACACAACTTCCTTTTTTTTTTTTTTTTTATAGAGAAACTATGAAAAGTGCTCTTATCTGTTGAGGAGCAGGCATGGTTTGGGGTAGTCGGTCATCTGGCATTGAGCTGACAGCTAGAACTTGTTTGGGAAATGAATGGTCTTCACACTTGGGATCTGTAAGATATGGTAACGGCCTCTATTAAGAAAAGACACTAGCCCTTCCTTAGGAAGCTCAGCCCCTTGCTAAGGGAAGAGGGTTCCTACCACCACATGCCTGTTAGCTCATTGTCCCAGCAGCAGGCTAAGCAGCACTAGAGCCATGTCAGACAGTCCCAGTCCCTGTGTCCAGGCTCCCTTCAGGGTTGGTGCCCTGCCGTCTGCAGAAAGCTCAACCACTGGGTTCCTGGATCTTAGCTGCCTGCCAGGCCCCAGGTGAGGACGACCACACTGAGATCTGCCTTGCTTTGGCTCTATCCACATGCAGTAGCTTTCATTCTACCTGCCAGGTCTCCTATCCTTGCTCCTCTATAACAGGCCCGCCACTCCACTGACCTATTTCAGCTGCCCAGGTGCTCCCTTGGGTCTCCACAGTCAGATGAAAATCACACGCCACCACTTGCCAAAGCTGTGGCTCCTAAATTTCCTGGCCTCCCTTCTAGAGAACCCTAATGCAGGCAAGAATAATTTATCCAAGGATGCTTAGCCTGGCAATGCCGCACAGACATCCTATTAACTTCAGGACCACGGGGGAGCGGCTAGTTTGTTCCAAATTAAAAGTAGCTGCAAATGGCCCTTATATAGCAGGAGGGCGCTGTGGGCTGCAGTGCCATGACACAGTGAAGGATGGAGCAAAGCAGGTCTCGTTTGGCCCTCTGCAGCCCTGAGGTCCCAAAGCCCCTTTCTCTTCACTGTAACCCTCGCCTTCTCCAATCTTCTTAGGGTTACAGGATCTTCCCTGAATGCTTCGTCAATCCAGATCCCAAGTTCCCTAAAACAGACTGTGTTCAAACCTGCCAGGTCTGGTAGGCTTCCCCTGGGCAAGCTACTCCCATATTGAACTCCTTCTTCCTTTAAACAGTGAGGCCAGGGATGTTCATGTCCTGGAGCTACTGAGACCGAATGAGATAGGATATCACACACACAGTGCCTGGCGTATAGCAGTGGTCTGGTAAAGCTCAAGATGGCCACTTTTCTTTCCTCACGCACTTTAGCTGTGGCTGAGAGCAAGGAGATGTGAGGCCAAGCTGGAAGAAACGACAGTACCTGGTCCAGACTCTCCTTCTGGCTCCTGGATCAGTTCTACCACAGTCACTTCAGCTGCCCCCAGTCACCTCAATGGCAAGTTCTGTAACTGGGAATCTGTCAATAGCTAAACAGATTCCTTTTACCTGGATGTCTGTGTGTTTACTGGCCACCCACTGTGGAGAATATGATACCCACACAACCACTCAACTTGTGGTAATAGGCGCCTCGAGTACCTGCACCCCATGAGAGCCCATAACAGCTGGATAGCAGCAGTATCAGGACCTGTACTGGACGTCCCTTTTTGAGGTCTGGTCTTTGTCTATTTCTTGGCACCCCAACTCCACAGGCTTCCTAACTCCTGTGTTGGTTTGACAGAAAGGATGAGCTCACGTGTCTTTGGTGAGCTAGGGTGTCAAAATCATGGACCCTTGAACCCACCTCAGTTTTCTCATGCTTGGCCCCACTCTCAGCCTCCTGGAAGCGGCCTGCAGTGGCTGTCCATGTGGCTGTCTGTTGTCGTGCCTGCAGAGATGTCCATGACAGCTCAGGTGGGGTCAGGTTCTCCCCAGTGTCTACATCACAACCTGAGGGGCCGAGTACCTGAGGACCACACAGAAGATCAGAACACTAAGGAGATCTTAGCAGGGGAGGAAGCAGCAATGGGGAAATATTACAGGCTCCTGGGCCAGATGAGGGTGGGGGGAGAAGCCAAGACCCCAGGAAAAAGCTCAGAGGGAGCCAGTTAGCACCAAGAGTGACAACCCTCTGGAGTGCCCCAGATCTGCAGTCTGCAGCCTGAAGTAAGCCTTTCTCCTCTGCTGGATGGGGGCAGAAGACTGAGCATAGGCCAGTCCTGGTCCTTCTGCCTGGAGGAACCAAGGCTGCATCCTGTGTGCTTTGGAGTACAAGGATCAACAACTTTGTAGGCCTGGTCTTGAATCTAAATTGTCCCATTTTCTTAGTTCATAAGTGCTGCTGTATGGAACGCCACCAACTCAGGAGCTGTAAGTCATTTAGTTCTTCATTCTGGAGCTAGCGTCTGAGAATTGGGGTGACAGGATGACCCACAGTTATATTGGGAACTCTCTTCAATCATCTGTGCTCTGACACCAGCAAGCGGGAGCTGGCTGCCTGGCTTCTTTTATAAAGGCCCCACTGTCACAATACGTCCCAAAGACCCACCTAAAGTTCCATCTGCCTCTCTGCAAATGATGTGATTTCAACTAAAAAAAAAACCCTCATGTGTGTATGTTGGGGGGAACGTGTTGATATATATATATGACATTAAGTAGATAGGGGTCTATCTGATCAAAAGAAAGGGACCAGCAAGGGAGAGGAGAGAGAGAGAGTAGATCATATAGGAGGGGTGGATATGATCAGTGTACATGATATAATTAAATGTCTGCATAAAACCCACTACTATGTACAACACACATATGCCAATAAAAATAAAACAATAATTTTTTTAGAGAAATCACCACTAAATGCCATCACAATGGGTGGGTAGAGCTACAATGTATGGTTTTTTATGAGGAGATGAACCTTCAATCCATGTCACTAAGCAGTGGCTTCCCTTCTCTGGGCCTCCACATGTTCATCTCCCAAATGAAGGAACCTCTGGTTTCAAAGATCTCTTCCAGCTTTGGAGTCAGCTAGTATTTAATTTGGAGTCAGGTAGTATTTAATACCTACACTTGAAGCAAAGATTGAACATGCGCTATCTGCCCAACATGCCTTGTGTGCTCTGCACCCATCCTTCCACCTACCATCTTACCGTGCACAAAAACCTGAGGGTGGGAGGCTCACCTGAGCCCCATTTACAGAAATGGAGACCTAAGCTGCAGAGAAAAGAAGGTTGTTATAAGTTGGATATAAAATGCCCCCTCAAAGATTCCAGATTTGAAGGTTTGGTCCACAGCTAGTGCATCCAGCCACTAGGAAATGGTCATGGATTGTTAGCTGCACTGATGCATTAAACCACTGATAGATTCATAATTTAATAGAATTAGTAAGGGGGTAATGGAAATGAAGTTTAGTTGATTCAAGGAATGAGGTCAATGGGGACACGATCTGAAAGGTTTATCTGGTTCCAGCCCTTTTTGTCTCTGCTTCCTGACTGCCCTGACATGAGCAGCTTCCGCTTCCACACCCTTCTGCCATGTTTTCTGCCTTATCACAGACTAACAGTGATGAAGCCAACTGGCCATGGATGAAACCTCTGCCACCATGAGTCCAAATGAATCTCTGCTGTAGATTGTCTGCTCGGGCATTCTGTCACTGCAATAGAAAGCTGTAACACAAAAGAGCTGCCTGTCGGCAAGGGGCAGAGCCAGAGCCGGGATTCTGGGCTGTCTGTTTCCTAGTTCCCGTATGTATCCCCCAGTCTCTATCACACACACACACACAAACACACACACACACACACACACACACACACACACACTACTCTCTATCTCACACACATACACACATACTACTATTCTCTCTCTCATTCACACACACATCTTAAAGAAGAAAGCAAGAGAGAGTACATATTCTTACTTTAGAAATAAAGTTGTCAAGAGCTTCATTCGGACTAAAGAAGCACATTCCTAGGAAAGGCTGCACCCTCAAGACCTGAGCTCTCCAAACCAACACCTACCGGTTAGCTTCCATAGTCAAATAACAGAAAGTGGGGAAGAATTGGCCGAGCAGCCAAGACTTCAGGGAGAGGGCAGTAAACACCACTCGGCAAGGATTTTCAGCTCTGAGTCCAGTCTGACCAATTTTCATTTCTTGCTTAGATGAAGTTGTTTGGAGGGAATTGAACGGAGTCAGTGGGGAGACACAACCCTGGGGCTTTTCTCAGGGAGGCTGGGGTTGTAGCCTACCTCAATTTTCTTTATGAAACTGGGTCAGTTTGAGTGACAGTTTTCAAACCACCTGTGCTTAGCAGGTCAAGCCAAGCTCAGGCTTGTTGCTCAGGATCTGCACACTTCAGTTTGGGACTAAAGGTCACTCAGAGCTTGGAATATCTCTAAGCCGTGAGGCATATTGGATTTGCAGAGACTCACAAACCAGTGCTGGTGAATTCTGCCCACAACTCATAAGAACAGAACTAGTGGCCTGCCACCCCAAATATGATAAAAATAAGAGGGATAATCTTTGCCATCATCCACCGAGTGCTGTGGCTTTAGAAGGAACTCCACACCCCACCCAGCTCCCCTTGGAAGCTTTCTGTTCATACCCCCAATGCTTGAAGCACTTGCCAATGCCACATGGAAGATCAAAGCTGTGACTTGTTTTAGAGGAACAGTCCCCCAAATCAAGCTCCTCAGCCAGCGTCACCTTCCGTTGTGGACTAGACTGAGACCCCGTTAAAATTCACATGCTGAAGTTCTGACCCCCAATGCGGTTATATTTGGAGACAGGACCTTGAACAAGGTACTTTAATGAGGGCACTTGGGCAGGGCCCTGGTCCCATGGGACTGCTGTCCTTATCAAAAGAGGAAGACACAGTAGGGATGTAAGGAAGTGGCCACCTACAAGCTGGGGAGAGAGGCCTCACCCCACACCAACTCCTCCAGCTTGACTTTGACCTTTGGCCTCTAGACCTGGAAGCGTATCAATTTGTTTTTGAAGGCATTCCTGACTGGTGATATTCTGTAAAGGTGGCTCAAGCAGATTAAATGCCTTTTCTTGCATTCTTTATTGTGATAAATATCCATAAAATTATGTTTATTAAGCCACTTTTAAGTGCACAGTTCAGTGGTCTGGGGTACATTCATGTCACCACCATTCATTTCCAGAACATTTTTCATTTTTGTAACACAAATCCCTGTGTTTGTGTTATAAAAATCACCATTCCAAGCCGGGCAGTGGTGGCGCACACCTTTAATCCCAGCACTCGGGAGGCAGAGGCAGGCGGATCTCTGTGAGTTCGAGGCCAGCCTGGGCTACCAAGTGAGTCCCAGGAAAGGCGCAAAGCTACACAAGAGAAACCCTGTCTCGAAAAAAAAAATCACCATTCCACTGTCTATCTTACGATTTTTGTCCATGCTAAGTACCTTGTGCAAGTACGCTAGTATTCTTTGTGTCTGACTCTGACTTCGTACACTTAGCATGTTTTCAAGATCTGTTCATGTTATAGCCTGGGTTAGCATTTAAATTCCTTTTTTAAATAATGGAGTATTATTTCATTGTGTGGCTGTGTCATGATGAGCTTAGCCATTCATCTATCCATGCAGCATTCTGATATTTAAAAATACAAAGCAGAAACTGCCTCCAATAGATCCTTGACAAACCTTTTAAAGGTTTATTTATTTTATTTTTCATGTGCATATGAATGCCTGAATGTGTGTATATATATATGCACCCGATGTGTGTAGGTGCCCAAGTAAGACTGAGAGGGCATTGGGCCCCTGGAACTAGAGCTACAGGTGACTGCAAGCCTCCTGATACGGGTGCTTGGAACTCAAGCCCAGTCCTCTGTTAGAGCAGCAAGTGCCCTTAACTTCTGAGCCGTCTCTCCAGCCCCCAGTCTCGACATCTGTTGAGTTGAAGGCGGACTTCTTGCAATGGCCATTTTCTGATTTGTTCTGTAGACTTCTGCTCGCTTCCTTTGTCGCCACCTTAACGACGCACCCTATAAACGGGGCCTTGCTGGAGTACCAACCAGCTTCTTCAGCCTCAGGTGTGCAAGTAGACGACTGTTCTCCTGACTGGGTCCTGGCCTTTCCAGAAACCCTCCCCTGGGCTTCGTTCAGTCCTCTGCTGCCTTTTGAAGCCAGCCATACATGCTTTGACATATCCTGTCACCGAATGCTGCCTCGTTTCCCTGCACAGCACATTATATTCCTACACAACACGTACACATTTTTAAAAATACTATTAAAATTATGGCAGATGGTGGTGGTGCATGCCTTTAATCCCAGCACTCGGGAGGCAGAGCCAGGCGGATCTCTGTGAGTTCAAGGCCAGCCTGGTCTATAGAGCAAGATCCAGGACAGGCACCAAAACTACGCAGAGAAACTCTGTCTCAAACAAACAAACAAAAGTATTAAAATTATATGCACTTATGGTGTAGAGCAATATTTGATGTTTTATTGTGTGTGCATAGTGAAGTAGCTACTACAGTCGAGCTAATTATCATATTTGTCTCATCATGCCATTACCTTTGTGAGTGTATTCAGGATATCAAGTCTCTTCCACAGGAATCAAGACAATGTGCCTCACCATAGCCATACCACTCAGTAGATCTCTAGAACTTTCTCATCCCCACAGCCCACAGTGTTCCCTTGACTTACATCTCCCTGCTATCCATGCTTATCCACTAGAGTCCAGTCCTATAGGTAGGAACTGTGTGCTGGCCATCACTGCTTCCCCTGCTCTTGGCCAACAGCCTAGAACACAGACCCTGAGGGGAAGCCGGGGTTGTCCAGACAGTTTAGAAGCCTAGGGTCTAGAGGCTGCTCCCCAGCCAGCTGGCTTTCTGCTGTCAGCAAAGCTGACCCTGGAATCTATACCTCCAAGTCTACTTCCCTGCAGGTTCTGCCCAGCATACTGCCTAAGGGCCCCAGTGTTATTTCCTTGCCTTCCCATGTCCATCTTCCCATCCACACCTACCCTTGGCAAAACTGCCTGCCATCTGGCCTTTGAGCCCATCATCTTGAGAGATATCACCTCCTTAGTTACTGTAGCTGGGGGCAGTTTGATTTACTTCAGTATGGAAAGAGGAGGGCTCTGAAGCTGGGAGTGGATTGGAATGACATCCACTCTGCTCTCTGCTCCATTTGAATGAGCAGATTGTCTCTGGAGATATGATGTCATCTGCAAATGTTTATGAAAGGTATAGGCACAGAATATCTTCTGCCCAGGTTCCCCTTCATCTGCTGAATATCCAGGCCCTCCTGAAAGCATGCTTTTGGAATTCACTAGACTCCAGATCATACACCACCACTTTCAACTTGTATTACATGGAGATGTCTTAGGAACTCACTCCTCTGTTCTGTCATTTATACAATGTGGACAGCAAGGTTCATCCTGAAGGTCGGCTGAAGGGATGCACACAAGTGTTGAGTGCGAGGTTTGTGCCTTACTAGAGTTCATGAACGACAGTGTTTTTGCTTTCATATCATGCTGCCATTTGTAAGAACTAGTCTAAGTCTCCCCTTGTTGTATTACTGTCAAATCAGGGCCTCCCACATCCTGGAAAGTTACTGATTCACCGAAATGACCTACGTGGTTCAGAAATTGGTCAGAGATTTGTCCACCATTCTCTTTGCCTTCTCCTTCCCTACATGGAATCAGAGTTTCACTCTTGGTAGACAGAGCAGCAGAGCTAATGGTCCACTCAGAGTGACTTTGGTGTCCAGAGCCTTTCCTGTCTCTTGCACACCCTTCAGCCAGCCTTCTTCCATGCCTTCAGCAGACAGAAAGAATAGCACAGTAAAGCCCCCACTTTGCATCATCCTGGGGCCCAGAGAAGTAGATGTAAGAGTTCTGAGATGTAATGCTAGATCAGTCACCTGTGGCTGGGGCAATGTTCCCCTGAGAACTCTTTCAGCAGGAAATGGGGAAATCAGCCTCACATCTTGAAGTCTCCTGGGCAGGCACACTCTGACAGAACAATCCCACTTTGCAAACTGAAGACTGGACCCAGAAGAGCTTCTGCCTCCCAGGGCACTGTGATGTAGGCAAAAAGCAGGTGCAAGGCATTGTCCCCATGATGATTATATCTTGGACTTTGAAGCATTACCTTCACATGGCACTGAGAGCCTGAACTGGCTATGAGAGTGAAGTCAAGGCTGTACCAACACAGTCAGGGATAGCTCCACTATCAGTCTCCTGGGTATAGATGAAGAAACCGAGGGCACACTAAGCAAGGTCCCTGAGCTATGTACCCCAAAGGAGAGCCTTCTCTGAAAGGTGGCTGGGGTATGTGGATAGGGTGACCTGGCTCCTCCCACAGCTGGTAGCTCTCCAAAAGATGGCTCAGCAAGATCCCTCCCGCTTCGGCTTCACCTGGTGAACTTACTTGAGAAGGGACTCCCACATTCCCTTTTCCTGGGCTCTTTTCTTATGCTCCAGACCTGTAGGTGACTCGTTGGTTGGACTGAAAGCTTGTGGTAGGGCAGAGGCCATGCCTTAGTTGTTTAGGAATGCTCAGCATTCAGCACAAGGTCTAGTACAGGGGTGCTCAAAGGATAGGTGGACAGAGGGAGAAAGAGGAGGAGGGAGAAGAAAGAGGAAGGAGGAGAAGGCCATCAGGCCCTTCTACTCCATTGACTGCCTGTCACCTCTGCTGAACCCTTATAAAGCCATAGCCAATCTTTCTCTCTCCCAACCTCACTGTTTCTCTTAGTGGTTCGTGACTGGATCTGTGAACCATCTTCCGTCTGCTACTTCAATGTTATTCCCAGAGCTACCCCCGAAGTCCAGCCCTTAGTGGGTCTCCCTGCTTTGCTGTGGTAGCCTCTACTTTCCCATTTCTCTCCTCCCACACTGCGACCAGACAAAACATGGGCCAGGCAGGAGATTGTCCATCCAACCCTAATGGAGAAATCTCTTCTAGGCTTACATAAGGCAAGTGTACTGCACATAGACTTTCATTTGGAGGTGTCTGCCATGGTATTATCACATTATTTACTAAAGTGGAAGTTGGAGATGATCTAAACTTCAGGGAAATAAACAGAAGCAAAATACATACATTTTGCTTCACCTACTGACAGGACCTCTGAACACTCACTTTGACTGCATGATACTTGAAAATGCTGAATTGAAAAGTTGCGGTTATGTGCCACGTGTTTCCAATCAGTGAACAGATGTGCAGGTGAAAATGTAAATTAGGAAAGAAACAAACTAAAACAATTAAATTAGAAAAGAAACAAACTAAAACAATTAACCTAAGTTTTAGTTGGGAGCAGGAGCTTGAGTTCATTCCTATTTGTGCTCCTATTATTTACACCTCTTTTCTTATTACTCTAGCTAAGACTTTAAGTTTTATATTGAATAAAAGAGAAGAAAACAGATGATCCTGTCTTATTATTGAATTTGGTGGAAATGCTTTGAGTTTTTTTCATAGTTAATATGATGTTGGATATAGGTTCATCATATTATAGGGTCATCATATATAACCTTTATTGTGTTGAGATATGCTCCTTATAGTCTCAGTTCTTCAGGGTTTTTATCGTGAAAGGATATTGGAGTTTGTCCAAGGCCTTTTTTCCCTATCAATATGATCATATAATTTCTATCCTTTACCCTATGTGTGTGATGTAGTATATATATTGATCTGAATACACTGAAACAATCTTTGATCCCTGGAATAAATGGAACTTGAACATGGCAAATGATCTTTTGATGTAAGAATTTTATTAATAATTTTTACCTCCTTGTTCATCAGGTAGATCCACTAATAATTTTCCTTTTTGTTATGTCTATATTCATTTTGGTTATTAGAGCAATCATGATTTTGCAAAATGAACTTGGTGGTATTCCCTATCATTCTGTTTTATGGAATAGTTTGAAAAGCATTGGTGTTAATTTTTCTTTAAAGATTTTGTAGAATTCAGCTTTGAGATGCCCCACCACCCGGCTTGTTCTGTTTTGCTTTTTGTTTTTTGTTTTTTGTTTTTTTTTTCAGTTAGGAGACTATTTTATCACTGATTCAAACTTACAACTTGCTATAAATCCATTAAAGTACTTTCAGTCTTCTTGGCTGATTTTGATAGGTTAATCTAGAAATGTGTTTGTTTCTTTTAGGTTTTCCAATTTATCGGAAGATAGATTTTCAGAGTTGCCCTAATGGGCTGCAGAGTTTCATTGGTATTTGTTATAATGTTTCCCTTTTCATCTCCTTTTAATTAATCTGGGTCTTCACTCTCTTTAGTTTGGTTAGTTTAAGGGTTTGTGAGTCTTGTTTATTTTTTCAAGAACAAACTCTTTGTTTCATGGGTTTTGTACTATTATTTTTATTTCCAGTTCATTAATTTCTGGACTGGTGTTTCTGATGTCTTTCCATACACTGATTGGAGGTTTAGTTTCTTGATTTTTTCAGACACTGGGGTGCATCATCAAGTTACTTATCTGAGATCTTTCTGAGTTTTAAAAAATATAGCTATACAATTCACTCATGGAACTGTTTTCATTGTATCTCACAGGTTTCTGTATATTGTGTTTACATCTTATTTGATTCTAAAAGTTTTATATTTTCCTCTCTTATTTCTTAATGATGCATTAATTAATTTTAAATAGTATCTTTTTAAGTCTCCATAGATATGAATATTTTCTGTAGCTTCTCTTCCATTTGATTTCTTATCTTGTTTCATTGTGGTCAGATAAAATCCACAAAATTATTTTAACTTTCTTTTATCTGTTAAAAAATTGTGTCCTAAAATATGGTCCATTTTCGAAAAAATTCCATAGGCTGCAGGAAATAATGTATATTCTGTAATATTTGGGTGTAATATTTGGTATATGCTTGTTAAATTCATTTAATCTGTGGTGTCATTGAACTCTGATAGGTTTTTGCTTGTTTGCTTTTCTGGCTGACCTGTCTATTGGTAAAAGTGATTGGTCACCCATAAATATTTTGTTGAGATCAATCTGGGCCTTTACAACCAGTAGTCTTTGTTTTATAAAACTGAGGATGCTTGGTTTGGTGTGTGGATAGTTCAAATTTTTAGGGGATTTCCTCCTTAAATTATCTTCTTTTTTTTTCAACATAATATTTTTATTGATTCTTTGGGAATTTCACACAATGCACCTTAATCACACTCACTTCCCAGTCCTCCAAGGTCCATCTCCAGCCTTGTGATTTCCTCTCAGAAAAAAAAGAAGAAAAGAAAAAGGAAAAAAATACCTAGTCCATTTTGAATTGCCCATATACTCACCGGAGCATGGTCAAACTCCCCGTGGCCAGCCCCTTAAAGAAAATTGAGTCTTTCCCCAATCCCACCCCTGGCAGAAGCCATCTACTGTAAAGAGCTATACTTCAGCATCCCTGTCAGAATTTCTTTATCTGTTTGTTTTTTGCTTTTTTTTTGAGACAGAGTCTCTCTCTATAGGCCTGCCTGTCCCAGAACTCACACTGTAGACTAGGCTGGAAAGATTCACCTGCCTCTGCCTCTTGAGTGCTGAGAGTAAAGGCATGAGCCACCATGCCTGGCTCTCTATCACAAGTTTTAAGAGTTCTCCTCAATGGCTTTTTATCTAGAGTGTTTTTTTAAGGGAGGGGTTGTTACAGAATCCTTCTGTCTCTCTTTCTCAACTGCGAGTCTGCAGATATCAATATCACTGCAAAAGAAGCTTCCTTATACTTTATAGTCAGAGGCAGCATGAACCATGGACTTCCACATGGTTTCTGGTTACAGCAGGAATCATGGACATCCACAGGGACCTGTCCTCCAGCATCAGCACAGACCATAGACCTCAGCATGGTCTCTAGTGGCACTACAGACCATGGACATCAATACGCCCCCATTGGAGCACAGACCATGGGCACCATCATGGGCCTAGACAGCAGCACAGGCCACAGATATCAACATGGCATCCAGAGGCATCCCAGCCCATGGACATTCACATGGCCTATGGTGATAACATGGATTATGGGGATCAACATGGGTTCCTTTGAGAGTATAGACCATGAACATCCACATAGCCTCCAGCCACAGCATAGACCATAGACATCAACAAGGCCCTTGGCAGCACCATGACCACATACATCAACACGACCATCAGCGGCCACATGGATATCAACATGGCCTCAGGAGGTAACACAGAGCACATGCATCCACCTGGCCTCTGGCAGTAGCACAAGCCACAGACATTGACATGGTCTCTAAAGGCAGCATAGACCATGGGCATTCACAAGGACCTCAGGCCTTAACATGGTCTGGGGCAGCAGCATGGACCATGGACATTCAACAGGATCATAACATGTCCCTGAGCTGTAGCACAGACCACAGATACCAAAATGGCTTCCAGGGACAGGATGGACCATGAGGATCTTTTGAGGAGGCCTATTCCAGAGAATGAGCCATTCTCCATCTAGGACATCTTGTAGTTGCTCAGAGTCAGGGCATTCATGTGGCTGGGCAGCATGTTCAGGGGTAGAGCCTGTGAGAGCTCCAGGCTGCCTCACACCATCCTAAAAGCCCTACTTGGCAGTGACCTGCTCCCCTATCCACAACAGCTTTTTCTCACATCTGTCACTGCTCTCGTATCTTAGTTCAGCCTCTCTTCACCGCCCACATGCCACTACAGTCCTCTCTCTTGCCCACCTCTTCATTGAATATTTGTTCATCAAGGTGGCACTGCATATACAAACTTGCAGTGTAAGTTACAGCATTTTTTTTTTGCCCAAACAGCTTTATACGTAAATAGTCATCACAATGAGTTATTGGTCTGGTTCAGGGTTTCTGGTTTCTGAAGCACCATAAATATGGAACCATTGCCGAAACTTGGATATTCTGCTGTTGCCCAGGATCAGGGTGTTGCAGCTAGATGGCATCTGGAGGCAGGATCTGAGCAAGCTCCAGACCACCACATACCTCCCCACTCTCCAGGTGGACCACCGCAAGAGACACCAGGCATGACCATTGTGCTTGAAGCATGCAGGCA